TTTTTCAATTAATAAAATTTTTTCACACCGTCGAGGTTCACCAAAAAAAAAAAAAAAAACTAAGAAACCTAGTCCTAATAAATCTGATACATCAATTCCTAGTAAACTTCATAGCTTACCTAATTCTGATAAAACTTTTCTACTCGCTGTACATTGGAAATCCACATGTACCCATTCCCTGCTACGGGAAAATCCCCCATCCTCCATCACCCCATCTATTATTCGACCTCGACAAACAAACAATAGTACTGCAGAACTGATCCATTTACGTTTAAAAGGAGTCACATCCCTATAAGAAAACAAAATCAAATGGACACTATCCACATTAAAGTTAGCAGGGCCTAAAGAATATGATTTACTCACTATTCTCAAGAATCTCCACCATGGAGAATAATTCACCACTCTGAAAAAAATGCCATAACCTGTCTCCACCGCAAACCCATAGGTTGGGAATGCCACATTACTCAATAATGACAAATATTAACTTAGTTCAAGCAATGCATAAACCTATTTGAAAGGATTGACCTTATCAACATGTTAGTTGCATCATCAAGAGTATGCACATTTTCCTGTATCACTTCCTTTGTAGCAATTGACTCTCTCACTTTGTGATGACTCACATCAATGTGTTTTTCCTTGACATCATACACATGATGCATTGCACTCTAACTATCACAATGCAAGCAAACTCCACCTTGCTTGAACCAACTATCATCCGTAACTCTTCCTTGGTAAACTCAGTCATTGCCATGTATTTTGTCTTAGTTATAGATAGAGATACTAGCGATTGTAACATGGATTTCCAATATATTTGTCCTCCTACAGGTGTATGCACATACCTTATTGTAGACATTATGTCATCCAAATCCCTATCATAACCAACATGTACATGTCCCACAACTGAAATGCAATTTTGTTGTCTAGTAAGCACTATACCACGGCTTTTTCTACATGTCAAGTATCTTAAAATTCATTTGACTATCTTGCCCTTTTTTTCCAAAACAAAAAACTCGCATGAATCCAACTTCCTTTGGTGCAGTTCCATCGTGCTACATTATCTCATACATATGCCTTAATCACATATACCATGGCAAAGTGTCATTAATTTCAGTCTCAGAAGAAATACTTGCAGTAACTCCACCAACAACAGAACTCCCTTCTAACTTGCAGATATTTCCTACAATCTTCTGTTCTTTCATAATCACCATAGAACCTTTAGTTACCTTTAATACTCCATCTGCTGCATTGTAACCACAACCATTGGAGTTTAAAGTTCCCCAAAAATAAAAATTAGATTTTTCCTCAAATTTGGAACATGTCTGACATCACCCAAAGTTCTCATAACACCATCAAACATCTTTACCCTATTTGTGTCAATTCCAATGACTTTATATAATGCATCATTACCATTAGAGCAGTACTACAATTAACTAGCCTATAGGTGTTGAACCAATCCTAATTAGGAGACATGCAATAAGAGAATCCAGAAATCCAAAATCCAGAATCCTTGAGTCTGCCATGTGATCAAATTTATTGAAACCGAAAGTACATCACCATCACCACAGCCTATGTCTTGCTCTGCTACATTTACTGTGTTTGATGGTCCCTCCTTGCTTTCTGCTCTTTTACCCTTCTTCCTCTTGGGAAAATCCTTCTTCATGTGCCCTCTTTCATGGCACTTGAAGCACTTTATGTCCTGTTTATCCCTGCTTCTCCTACGATTCTTATTATCCTTTGCTAGAAGCCCTTCACCTTGTGTTCCTTCACTGGTATTTGTCTCAGCTGATTATATGTGAGGGTTCCTGTAATCTCCTCGGCAGTCTGTGTCTCTTTCCTACACAATAGAGTTGTAACCAAAATCTCATATAATGCAGGGAAAGAAGTCAGAAGCATCATTGTCTGATCTTCCTCCTTGACCTTGATATCAATCCTTAACAAATTGTTGATAATCTGATTGAACATATTAAAGCGTTGAGTCAAATCCAAACTATCCACCATCTTAACCCATACAAATTTTGCTTTAAAAACTGGCCCGGCCCAGCGGGTTGACCCGGTAAACCGGTGCAACAGAGTCTGAACTGGGCCAATTTAGCTATTAAGTCGTTCAAGCAAATGAACCGGATAAAACTAAATGACCTGGCCGCTTTTGTAAGAAAATCACTGAACCGGACAGTTTAGAACAAACCGGACGGTCTAATTCAAATGTAATAAAAACTGGTTCTAGGGCATTTTTGTCCAAATTTCATTTCATTTTTACCTTTGTCGTCTGCTTCTCCTTGACTCCGACGAGGCGACTATCGCTCAATCATCTCTCTCTCTCTCTCTCTCTCACACACACACACACATCGAAGACTCGAAGTGCTCTGAGCTTTATTCTGGGTGTGCTCTTCACCTTCATAGTCATGAAGCTCAATCTCACCACCGATATTATACTTTCGTTGAACATCTATGTTGTGATGGTCTTTTGGGCTTCTTCTTCGTCAAGACTTGGACCAAATTTCTTGATAAATCTAGGCTTTTGAAACAATCATTTGACAAAAGCTTCTTCGACTCAGATCTTGACTCAGGCTCACAGCACTATAGCAAATCTTCGGCGATTAGGTTTTACGTTTCTCTCTCTCTCTGCCTGCTAGTCTGCTATTACATTTCAGAACTAATTGATTTGTATTTGTATAATTTTAGGCCTATTTCAATTAATTCTGGGGTTTAATTAATTGTGGGTTGTTGATTTTGATGCTTAACTTTACAAAGTTTTATAGGAAATTGAATGGATTGAATTTGTGTTTGATCCCAGAAGTTTCAAATTGAGTGTGGTTCTTTGATACTTGTTAATATGGTGTTGGGTAAATGCTCCTGTGCATGGCCTTATTTGTCTTTACTTAGCCAAATTAAGGAGTTGTTGAGGGTGTTGAGTTTTAGATTAGGCACGTTTATAGGGAAGCGAATAGGGTCACAGATGGCTTGGCTAATCAGGCAGTTAGAACCAGAAATTCTTTTGAGTTTTCTTGTTCTTTGTGTTTACCCAGTGAAGTTAGGTTGGCCTTGTTGCAGGATGTGAGAGGGATGCCAGTTTTGAGGGTTAAAAGGGCTTTGGTTTATGATGACAAGGGTTAAAGGGTGCATGTGTTGTGGATGTTGCCGCTGGGAATAGGCAGTGAAGTCTTACACTCTGATAATGCTGAAGATGTTTTTTGGTCATTTTTAAGGATTGAAGCCATCAAGTGTAATTTTGAGAATTTTATTGTTTCATTCTTGTAATACTTTGTTTCTTGTAATTTTTGGATTACATCTATAAAATCTCTTATTTCTGTTAAAAAAAAAAGAATATGTGTTTAATGATTTTGAGGTTTTTGTTTGATCTAATATATATTAAGCATGCTATTTTCATAATTATTGTGATTTTTTAGCTTATTTATAATTATTTTATATTTTTTTATTATATAACCGATTCGACCAATAACCCAACGGTTGAACCAATGACCTATTGACCCTGTCCCTTTTTCGAGTGAATTTTCAAGCCGGGTTTTAAAACTATACTTGATATAGACCATCATCCATCGGACAGAGACAAATCATACTCACCGCCCTCATCCGGAGATCTTCCCAATCATCCGCCAATATTTTTTCTAGTTTTTCCTTTTTTTTTCTTCCAACATGTTCACCACTCCTTGCTACACAAACAAATCCTTAACTTTGGCCAATGAAGAATTCTCTGCCCTTGGATCTAGTAAGCAACAACTCTGATACAAGTTTGTAGTGAACGTGAAATATGGTGAACAAACAAAAATAAATAAATAAATAAGAACACAAGATTTATGTAATTCCATAGAAATCCTACCTACATCCACAAGAAGGATTTTTTCCTTATTATTGTTTTTTCAGAATCCAAAAGGATGAAATGTATTTGAATAAAAGAACGAACTCAACTACAATTGAAACAAGTCTGGGATTTAAAAGAAGAGCGAAAAAAAAAAAAAAATCTATTTTGATCCAAAAATAAAATGAAAACCAACAACAACAACAAAAAAAACGAAACAAAGATAGAAAGATTGAAAGCGAAAAAGGGTAACGCAGCTGATTTACTGATATGTTTGTTCTAAGAATTCATTACTACCTTTGATATTCTCTATGAATTCTAATCTATAACATATTTATAGGCACCAATTAATTACTATAATTTTGGTTCAACTAGGAAACCTAGTCCTAGTGAATCTGATGCATCAACTTCATGTAAACTTCCTACCTTACCCAAATCTTGGTAAAAATTCTCCACCAGATCTTGCTTTTGGATAGGTTGAAATCCACATGTACCCACAAGTAAATTGTCATATCTCATAAAACATAACAACTTATATTATTTAATTTTAATGGTTATTTCTCAACTCATATTTTAGTCACATTTGATTCTCTTTGAAATTATTCAATAATTTACAAAAAAATTACGAATTTTATTTTGTTTACTGATATTTACTGATATTTGAAAGAAACAAAATAATCAAAGCTGTGAATCTAATCAACTTTGGGATTAGTTTTAGAGAGTAGGTATTGCTGTAATGAAAGCTGTTAACTTGGTCTTTTCTGTAACCAAATCTTTTCTGTAACCAAAATCCTTTCGACTGAATTAATAAAGGAAATATCTTTTATTAGTTCTGTGTACTGTGTGATTATCTCCTTAAAATTCATCAAAAGAAATCCTAAAACAAGACAATTGAACCCATCACAAACAATTGTTTGAAAGTTATTTGGAGATCGATTTTCCTCCGTCGATAACAATAAATTTTGGTGCAATAAATGGTATATTTAAAGTTGCAATACTTCAACGTTGTTTTATTACAAGTTCTAATACTTAATTGAACATAGATCACATATACACACACGCAACAGTTATTACCAGTATATACAATATTTCAATCATATTCTATAGTCCACTTCAATCTACTGTAATATATCAGTATTTCCATTTTGGATTGCATTTATGTATTCACGAATAGGATGAGTTGTTACACCCGGTAGTCTAAAATCAGCCTCTCGAATTCAAAATGCTTTAAAGCATTTACCCTCCTTTTCAAATATGATCCAGCTGAGTAGTAGTCACTCCGTGGATCTTTATCAAGTTTCCGTATCATGAAGAGCAAATAATATGCATGAGTATCCAGTAGCAGAGGCATATCTATCTATATATATTCATGCGGTCTAATAAAATCATGCTTATACTTTGTGTTGTGAAATTTACCTATTAACATGTTGACCACACAGATCTGACACTATATATAGGGCTTTCAATTCTAGACACGCCCCCACAAACTCAACGTGAAATTAAAACAAACTTAACATACATATGTTAATCTTAATTATAAGGTCAGGTGGTAAGTGGGCGAATTCGTTAGACCCATCAAATAATTTAGTTGACACGTTTATACACAATTATAAATGGGTCGGGTATGAGATTACATATTTCGACACAATACGACTTTGACATGAGACAACACAATTATTGACAGTCCTAACTACTTGAATCAAAAAATTACAAGAAGAAAAAAAGGCCAAGAAAAAGTCCACCGACCAATCAAAAGTCAAAGTGCCTGGGCACTCTAACCTCAGGAAACACTCATCATGATCTAATTTGCATGTTGAAAAAAGTGAGAGGGCTAAATAGCCCCTCCAGACAAGAAGAGATGAGGAAACTTATTTTTGAACAACACCTTGACATCACAAGTGTTGTTGAAACTAGAGTTAGACCTGTAAATAAAAATATTATGAACCGCATGTTCAGAAACTGGGAGTTCACTAACTACTATGACAGTCATGACTTGGAGAAAATCTGGATTGCCTGGAACCCAGGAAATGTGAGGCTTGAAAAGCTTTCAGAAACTTATCAAATTATAAACTGCAAGGCATTACACTATGAAAGTAAAACCAGTTTCTTTTGCTCATTTGTCTATGGAGCCAATGAGGACCACACAAGGAGAAGCCTTTGGGGAAACATATTCCATGAAGCTTGCAATTTCAAGAATGATCCCTCGATACTTCTTGGGGACTTCAATGCCATCAAAAGTCCCCAGGAACACAAGGGACAACCTTGCAAATGAAATCAATCCATGAGGGATTTTGAAGATTGCATTCAAAATTCAGAGCTCATTGAGCTGAGATACTCAGGACTGCTTCATACAGGGAAAAGTAACAATGTGGCTAGGAAGTTGGATAGGGTGCTTATTAATGAGGAATGGAATGTCAAATTCCCACATTCATAAGCAGAACACCTTCCACCTGGAGTTTCTGATCATTGCCCTTCACTTGTCAAACTAATCACAGCGGCTAGTAGAAGGAAATTCTCTTTCAGATTTTTCAATTTCCTTGCCAACGGAGAGGACGTTATCCCCATTGTAATCCGAGTTTGGAATGAAAGCATACAAGGCACCTTGCAATTCCAAATCAGCTACAAATTGAAAAGGCTAAAATCCATCTTCAAAGAGAAATGCAAGGAGATTGGTGACATCTCAATTAGATCCAAAGCAGCAAAGAGTGCTCTTGAAAACTGTCAAAGTGAACTTGATCATGACCCTTCTGATATAAGGCTAAGGCAAAAGGAAAAGCAACTGCTTGCAAACTATTTAAGAGCTGCTTAGGTTGAAGAAGGTTTCTACAAACAATACGCAAGGGTCCATAGGCTTAAGGAGGGGGATCAAAACACCTCATATTTCTTCCAAACTATGAATAACATAAGAAATAGGAAGAAAATTCTTTCGTTAAAGAGGATGGATGGAGCCACAGCTGAAACAGAAGAGGAGATAAAGAGGGAGGCTATAAACTTATTTCAACACCTATTGAAGAAAGATTCCCACACTGTCAATAGAACTGAGAGACTGCAGTACTTAAGCTCAGTTGTTCAGAACACAATTGCTGAAAATCAAGCAACTGAAATGGTAAAGGAGGTAACAACTGAGGAAATCAAGGATGCGTTCTTCTCAATTGATAGAATGAAGGCCCCTGGGCCAGATTGGTTCAATGCCTATTTTTTTAAGATAGCTTGGAATGTTATTGGTAATGATCTCATTGGTGAAGTCAAAGATATCTTTTCTAGAGATAAACTCCTCAGAGAATGGAACAACACTCTCATTACTCTCGTTCCTAAAGTCTCCAACCCATCCACCATGGGTAATTTCAGACCAATCTCCTATTGCAACAAATTATACAAAATGATCTCTAAAGTGCTAGCAAACATATTCAAATATGTTCTACAAGACATCATTAGCCCAAATCAGATTGCTTTTGTCCCTGGCAGGTATATTAGTGATAACATCCTCCTAACACAAGAACTGCTAAGAAAATATCACAAGAACAAGGGGCCATCCAAATGTGCAATCAAGGTTGACTTGATGAAAACTTTTGATACCATTGATTGGGATTTCATATTGGACACACTAGGAGCTTTTAAGTTTCCAGCTGATTTCATAAAATGGATCAGAATCTATATCGCCACTCCTAAATTCTCAGTTAATATCAATGGTGAATTAGTTGGGTTCTTCTTAAGAGAGAGGGGTCTAAGGCAAGGGGACCCACTATCCCCTTACCTGTTTGTTACAGCCATGGAAGTTTTACACTTGAGTATTCAGATACAAGTGCACAGAAATAGGAGCTTCAAATACCACTGGAGGTGCAAACAACTCAACCTTACTCAGCTTACCTTCGCAGGTGACCTCTTCCTTCTCTTTCATGGAGACCTGAACTCTGTGAACCTCCTCAAGGAATCACTTTTACAATTTCAAACCCTCTCTGGTCTTCAAGCCAATCCATCTAAAAGTCACATATTTCTCAGTGGTCCCTCCAGAAGTGACGATGTAGATTATTCAAAGTCTGGGATTTATGGAAGGCTCAATACCCGTCAGATACCTTGGCATCCCACTCATCACAAAAAGACTCCACTCTCAGCAATGTGTTGAGTTAACAAGCAAGATCGAAGCTAAGGTGAGGAGTTGGACTAACAATTTTATGTCTCATGCAGGTAGACTTCAGCTTCTAACTTCAGTACTTAGCAGCATTCAAGTCTTTTGGGCTTCACATTTGGCAATACCACAGCAAACTTGTGATAAGATGGAGCAGATAATGAGAGCCTTCTTATGATCAGGCACAGAACTGAGAACCTTCGCTGCAAAAGTCTCTTGGCATGATGATGTATGACTTCCAAAGAAGGAAGGAGGACTAGGAATTAGAAGGCTTAAATAATGGAATACAACCATCTTCTTCAAACATCTATGGAAGTTGTTCCATGATAAACACAACCTCTGGGTCAAGTGGATCCACATTTTTCATTTAAAAGGGAAATCTCTCAGGGATGTCAAGACTCCTCAATGCTGCTACTGGAATTGGCTCAATTTGCTTAAGATGGGGGAAGCCTTCAAACCTTTCCTCCTCCACAAAATTGGGAATGGAAATGACACATTTCTTTGGCTTGACAATTGGCATCCACTGGAGCCTTTGCTTCAGAGATATGACCAAAGCATCCTTCAGTCCACAAACACCTCAAGTGCAACAAAAGTCAGCACCATCATTCATAACAATCAATGGAGTTGGCCGCCATATCCATCAGGGGAAGCTTTGGAAATTTCAAACTCCATGCCCCTTTATTTGCCAAACCAGAATGCATTTGACAAAGTCAAGTGGTCCCTCACCTCCAATGGTTCCTTTTCTTCAAAATCTGCATGGGAACATCTTAGAACAAAGGCTGAGGTGGTCCCTTGGCTTGGACTTGTCTAGTATAGTCAATCTGTTCCTAGACTAAGTTTCATCATTTGGATTGCCATCAGGCAAAGGCTCAAAACAAAGGACAGAATTCATGTTTATGCCCCTCACCAAGACCTCGAGTGTGTGTTATGTGGTGAAGGTATTGAGTCTCATTTTCACATGTTCTTTGAGTGCCAATACTCTAAGAGAGTCTAGAGCTTACTCACCCAATAGTTTAACTTCTCTTGCCAATGCATGCCTTGGACTAATTTTGTCTCATGGGCTACACATCACTTGAAAGAAAATTCATTATTCACAGTCCTTCAAAAGTTGTGTCTCTCAACTGTTGTTTACTATCTATGGATGGAAAGAAACACCAGAATTTTTGCTAACAAGGCAAAGGATCCAAGTACTATCTTCAAAGCCATGCTGCAAACTGTAAGGGACATACTTGCATTTCTGAAATTCGAAAGTTCGCAGTTGAATTTTGTCATTTTTGAAAAATTACAAATCTCAAGCAACTGTATTGTGTAACTTCTCAGTTTCATCACAGTGTTTTTTGCTTCCTTTCACATGGAAACTTTTTTTTTTTTTAACAAATCTATCTGAGGTGTAGCTACTTGCTCACACCTCCCACAAATTTGTTTTTTTATACTTTGTAAAACTATGGGGATACCCCTGCTTTTGTATCTCTTTTGATATGCAATTCATCTATACTTTTCGAAAAAATTACAAGACCAATGGGAATGAATTATATATACATTGGTTATTATTAGACATACATTACTCGTTTTGCAAGTAACATAAGAAGTACATCAGCAATTTTTATCATATTTATTTCTTAATATGGTATTTTATGCACATTTTTTTGTATCTAAATTAGTTTTTTATTATCACAAATATTGACATGAATGAGACACAGACCGAAATGATATAACCTGAATATATGACATGACTCAAAGAAACCATACAAAAGTGATAGAGAAATGCTATGCTTACGGAATCATTTACTAAATTTTGTATCCCAAATCAGTAGTTGTTGGATTAGTGGACCCACTAACTCCACCAAGCATTCAATATATAAGATTTTGACACATTTTTTAGAATACAAGATCTGGTATATAAATTTGGAAAGCATAATTTTCTTCTTTTTTTTTTTTTTGGGGGGGGGGGGGGGGGATAGAGAGTTTGTTTTGCTTGGATAGTCTCAATGAAATGAGATGTATAGGAGGACAAAGACAACTCACCTTTCCCTTATTGTTGGTTTCATAATAAAGCCATGGTCCAAAGTGGTTAAACACGAAGGAGCTGTTGTCCGGAGGCTGCCTTGGAATAGCATCATCACTGAAAACAAAGCTAAAATACCGTACGATGCCATACTCTTTAAACTTTCCTTCCATGAACTCTCCAAACTTTTTGTTTCCAACCCTAGGCTGCCCAAATGTGTACACCG